AAAAAAAAAAAAAAAAAACAAACCTGGCCAGCAAGTCAGTGAGGAACCCAGAAAGGGTGGGAAGGTCTTGGCAATAGGAGGTGTCAAAAGAAGTGAGAACACCATAGTATTTGTGGTGACCTAGAAGTTTTAAAGGGTGAGAATCTTGAGCATAAACCATGAGACCACATGAACCAGCCTTTGAGCCTAAGGATTTGGGTGGTAAAGTCAAGTCAAGACAGTCATGAGCTTTACATATATTTGCCTGGAGAGAGGCAAAGTGACAGTGAGGCTCTGGCAAGGATAGGAAGTCTTTGCCTTCTTATTAGAAGGTGCTGTTATAGGAATGGAGAGAAAAACATGAATTTGGGGATGCAGAATTGGGGAAAGGAAAGCACACTCATTAAATAAATACAACAGAACAGAAGTCTCCCCTCCCTGGGCAGTCTGACCTGGAATGGCTCCTATTCTCTCTGCTTATTTCTACATCAGAGTGGAATACCACCAAATTGTTTTATGTTGTGGACTCTAGTGATTGGCAACCCATCGATAGGTTTCTTGATGAGAGCAGATACAAGACCAGTCAATAGTGGCTCAGTCATTGGGCATCTGCCTTTGGGTCAGGTCATGATCCCAGGGTCCTGGGATCGAGCCCCTCATTGGGAAGGGTCTATGTGGCTGGGCTTTCTCAGCTTTTGATTGCCCAGCCACATAGACCCTTCCCTCTTCTGGTCTATGTTAGTTGAAAATTGCTGAAATGCAGTAGTGGGATTTTTTTTCTTTCATTTTACCAGGTCTCTTCTTCTTCTTCTTTTTTTTTTTTTTTAAGATTTTATTTATTTATTTGACAGACAGAAATCACAAGGAGGCAGAGAGGCAGGCAGAGAGAGAGAAGAGGAAGCAGGCTCCCTGGCGAGCAGAGAGCCTGATGTGGGGCTCGATCCCAGGACCCCAAGATCATGACCTGAGCAGAAGGCAGAGGCTTTAACCCACTGAGCCACCCAGGCGCCCCTACCAGGTCTCTTCTAATCATGTTCAGTTCTAGATGATGTCTGTCATCTGTCTCTTTCAGTATCCTTTCTCACTAGCCCCTCACTAACAGCTGAAGTGCAGATCTTTGATGACATCTATCTGCTCACTGATATATTTGCAAAATGATTCTCTGTGTGTTAAAATAAACCTTTGTATTATCTAGTGTTTGACTGTGTACCCCAGGCAGGACTGTATAATGAGATCCCTTTGCCTGGCCCCCAGCTTTGACAGTTACCAACCTGTGATCAGCCTTGTGTCTTACGCATCCCTGCTTCCTCTCATTACTATGAACCAGATCCCACGCACCCTGTCATTTTGTTCGTCCCTTATTTGTATACACATCCATGGTCAGGGAAAGTTTGTGTCATGCTTGGGCTGATTTATTTGGGAAAGACAATAAAATGTACTAGGATAGGGTTTACTCACATAAAGATAAGTCAGATATCTCCCCTGCCTACCAGGGGAGGACCCTGCATACCCAGCTCCAGAAAGAATAAGCAAATCAAGTCTATCCCATCTCCAGAGCTTGAAGACTATCTAAGTGCACCTGGGAAGGGTGCTGTAGCTGGGAGTCATTGGGTATGTCACAGCAGAAAAGCTGAGGCTGAGGACAGCTGATGCAGGAAATGCTCCCTATAAAGCCAGCAGTGGTATAGAACAGTGGTCTGCAAACTCTGGTCCACGGGCCAAGTATGGCCCACTTCTTATTGTCTTCAAGCAAAGAATGGTTTCTATTTTTAATGGTTGCAAAAAGCAAAACAGTAATGTTTTGTGACATGTAAAGACTCTACGGAATTCAGATTTTAATGTCTATAATGGAACATCATCACATTCATTTGTTTACATACTGTTTAAGGCTGATGGCAGAGCTGAGTAGTCATGACAGAGGCTAGATGCCCACGAGCCTGAAGCATTTACCATCTGGCCCCTTACACAAAGCCATAAGCCAGGGGCTCTGGAGCCAGCCTGCCCAGGCTTAAATCCTGGCCAGCTCTTTTGAGTGACCTTAAGCACATTGCTCGTCCTCTGCCTCAGTATCTACATCTTTAAAATATGAATCATAATAGTACCTACCTATAATAGCACAGGTATTAGGAGGAATAAATTAGTAGTTATCTGTAAAGCATTAATAGGAGTCCCTGCAGGAAATATGAGCTCATTATTATTAATGTTATTTTTATTATTATTTCATAATGCGAGAGCTTCTCAACCACTCTGAGACTGTAACTTCTGTTTAACATGAGGGTGATGAAAGCCTCCTAGGGGCTCCTGGGTGTTCCCAGCACACCTCCTCCTCCCACAGAGATGAAGCCCTGCCTAAGGCTTCCCTGGTGTCCCCAAACATTCGACAGACTTTTCTGACTCCATCATCTCATGGGCAGAAGCACTGGCTAGCACAGTTGATTCTCACCTCTCCCTTGCCCCTGGGCCTGTGTATAACAGCCGAGAACAGTATTGCTCTGCAATAGAGTGGTCAGTCCAGCACTAATGAATTCATCCCTGATCCCTCTGGGGCTGGGTTTGTGGCCGCGTGAAGGTGGTCTCATGGCAGCTACAAATACGTTGAGGAAGACTGTCCTGTTGCTCCCCAACACCACTCTAGCTGCAAAAATGAAGTACAGGGAGAATAAGTGATGGTTTCCTATATGCCACATCTATTAGAATGGAATCATTTTTGAAGGAATAAATAGTTGTGCTAGACCATATTGATATGGTAGTCACTTTCTTACATGCATGTGATCTGCTTTGATGGTTTTTTTGTTTTTGTTTTTGTTTTTTAACCTGTTGGAAGATAAGAATGAGGAGAGGGAAAGAAAACCATTGTCTCCCATTGCGAAGGAGTATTAAAATCTATTTTCTAAAAATTTCACATTAGGGGCACCTGGGTGGCTCAGTTGGGTAAGCGTCCGCCTGTGGCTCTGGTCATGATCCCAGGGTCCTGGGATCAAGCCTTGCGTCAGGCTTCCTGCTCGGCAGGGAGTCTGCTTCCCTCCCAAATAAATAAATAAAATTAAAAAAAAAATAAAATCTCACATTAAAAATAAAATGGCATGGAGTGCCTTCTTCCCCTTTGTTTGTAATTCAAGTACAAAAGTTGTTTTAAGTTGCTGTACCAATTCATTTATGAAAATATGTGACCTCCATGACTCTTCACTGCCTCCTTCCCTTCCTGCCACCTCTTCCTTCTTTTCTTCCCTTTCCTTGTCCTCTGAAGAGATAACAGGAAAACATTTGATAAAAGTGAATATTCATTCATGGTAAAAATTCACAGAAAACTTAACATAGAGTGGAATTTTCTCTACTTGATTAAGGTATCTCTTCCATGCTTTCAGCAAACAGAAGTCATAATGATGAACTCTTCATAATAATCACTTGAGAATCAAGAACTACACTAGAATACCTGCCCTCTCAGGCTATAATCAATAATATACAGGTGGTCCTAGCTAGTGCAATAAGACAAGAAAAACAAAAAACCTATGAGGCCTAGAAAAGATGAAACAAAACTTTGTTATGCAGACAATACTGCCTACACACAATACTCAATGCCTTTATCTTTTTTCTGTTTTTTAACTTTTGGAGTGAGATGCCCTCCTGTCCTGTCTTAAAATTGCATGGTGGGGGTGGTGTCTGTGCTTGAAATAGGGTATCTTGTTTCTGGGTTTAGCATTGACCTTGCCCACCTTGGTCTGGCAGCTGAGTTATTGGACTAGGAAACTTCTGCAGGTTGTGTTCTGTCATCTCTCTGGAAAGCCCCAAAGCATCCTTGGAATTGCATTTGCTAGTTTTCAGTAGAGCTATTTAACTAGAATCTGGAAACATTTTTCCCAAGGGCTCTTTTTAGATAGCAATAAAATGTAGCTGGAGACATACTGAGTAAATGGAAAAGAAAAATCAAATTAGGCCAAGAATTTTTTTAATCTCCTAGTCTCACTGAAGCCCTAAGGAGAACACCATAATTCATACTGGGTCAGGCATAAAGCCTCCTCCACAGATCCAATAACCTGTAAATGTTCTGGTTTTGAAATTGCACCTGCCTGCGTTGCTGGATCACAGCACTAAATCATGCAGCAGTGGTTTCTGGTTCAGTTGTTCGTTACTTGGGAATGTCAGATTGCCAGAGAGCAGCCTGCTGTTTACTTCCAAATGGGCAATGCCATAAGAAAGGAGTTTTAATTACAATCTCATGTAGCGCCACTGCACACAGCGTGCAGAGGGGCTGGCATTTGCATTGTGCGTAGATCTTGTAGCTGTGTAAACACCCATCGACTGGGTCATATAAAATGGGCAGCAAAGTCAGCAGAACCCCAGAAAAGATGACACAGCAAGTGGAACAGAACTGAATCTTCCCCCATCCTGCCAAGCGTGCAATGCTCCCTGCTCCTTTTTAAAAAAGCAAGAGAACCCTGTTGGCGTTTGCCCTTCAACTTCCCCATTCTGATACAGAATCTGTGATCCAGCACAATGAGCCATTCAAAAAAACAGAGACCTGGGAGTCTCCGGGCTCTGAGGTGCCTGCAGGATCATCTGAGACCAACTCCTGCTGCCCCGTGAAATCCCTCCCCTCCTCATTTACTGCAATGCAGTTTGTACCACCAAAGGTGGTGATATCACAACGCTGGCATTTCCAGTCCAAAGCAGGAGCTATTTCGAGAAATTCAGGGGATGCTCAAGAGGGTGTGTGTGTGTGTGTGTGTGTGTGTGTGTGTGTGTGTGTGTGTATTTAACATGCCAGTGATGCAGCTCTGACGTAAAAAAATATTTAAAAAATCCTCCTCTGGGCACAGATGCTCAGGAGTCAGGCAGTGGACCTGCAGCGTCCACTGGTCAGTGGACACCTGGAAGGTCAGTGTCACCTGGAAGCAGAAGTGCTATTGGAGCTTTCTCTTCAGCATTTCAATAATAGTAATGTGATGTCTTGAGGTCTCTCATATTGAGAGATTAATCCCTTGCCTTTTGGAACCAAGCCTCCCCAGTGTTCGGAGAGTTTCCTACTGTCTGTTCCACTCAGCATGCCAAGAAGCTGGAGAGGTCCCCGGCAGCCCGGATTCATTCTGTGTCTTGGGAAAGTCTTCCACTGCTTCGAGAAATCATGAAGTCAATCCTGGCAACACTGTGGAATTGTTTTGTACTTTTTTTCCTTTAGTCTTTTAATTTTTCTACCGAAATGCCAGAAAGATCGGGTCTATTTCCAAGAGGGCTTCTGACATCTGAGATTGGCAAGGGCACAAAATGACATGAGAGTTTCTCTGCAGAATTCCAAATTCAGGCAAGATTTTTCCAAGCACGTACTATGTTTAAAACACCTTGCAGGGATGTCCTGGAGAATCTGAAGTTCTGGCTTAACCCTCAAAACTTTGAAAGCAATGGCTGAAAAAGAAAGATGAGCATCTTGAGGCTTCCTCTGGAAATGGTTGAGGTTCGCCACAGCAATTGGCAAGTTTGGCTTTTTCCATCAAAATTTGGTGTCTTCATGTGCTGTCCAGCATCTACTGCAGGTCAGATGGAGCTTAGGAAGGCAAGGGTAACTGTTCTCTTTGTCTCTGTAAAATGTTTTGTCTGTCACGTCCCTCTTTCCCATAGCCTATTGTTTTTATGTAATTCTCCTCTGCAAGGACATTGGAATGGGTAAGTGCCCTCTCACCCATTCACTTGGTTTGGGGTAACTTGCAGATTTGCAAATGTTTTACGTGGAGAGGATTTTCAAAACTTGTGGGTATATGAATTCTAAAAACAGATGTGCACAGTGGGATTTTCTCTCTGTACATTTTCTCTTGCTGGTTGTTATTTATAAATATTCATAGGTGCGCTTCAAGTATTCTGTAGATACAAAGATGATTTTTAAAGAGCCCAGTAATAGAAGAACTTCCTTTAAATTTTTTTTTTAATTTAATGAACTAAAAAAAAAAAAAACAAACATTCCTTATGTTTTAGAAAAGCCCCATTGCATAAAATAAATTTGGAAAGTGGCTTCAGGCAAGGTGGAGAAAAGGTTTTTAAAAAGATGAAACCAAAGCATCAAAACACAACTGCCTAACAAGGTCACTGGATGGGAAATCTGAGGCAGCTTTTCTCTAAGGGAGGCACTGGGGAGAATGATTCGAGGTGCAAGCTTCTGAATTAAAAGAGGGCAGATATAGGGGGGTGAAGGGTAGGGAACAGACCATACCTATTTGTTGTCTGCCCAGAGGCTGCTTCTGTTGATGTTTCCTGCCCTTTCCCCTTTCTGGCTCCTGAGCCAAGTTGTCTCCTACGATGGGGCACTGGTTATATCCCATAGTTGGGTAGGAGTAGCTCGTGGAGTAGGACTGGGTAGAGTCTTGTTGTCCGTAATTAACCTTGACATTTTCCTTCCCTTTTTTTTTTTTGTTTTGTTTTGTTTTGCTTTTTGTTTTGTTTTGTTTTTGTTTTTTAACCCTCTAGGAGCCTAGTAATAAACGAGTCAAGCCCCTTTCCAGAGTGACATCACTAGCAAACCTCATCCCTCCCGTGAAGGCCACACCATTAAAGCGCTTCAGCCAAACCCTCCAGGTAAGAAGGACACGGCGGGCTTGGGTTTGCAGAAAACTGTGTTGTGTGGGAGGGTTCATTGCTGCTCCTCCCCAGAACCTCCCCTGAGATCTGAATCAGGGCTTATTTCAGCAGAAGAGAGCAAAGGAGGGAACTGAAAGGAAGAAAGGGGTGTTTTTAAGTTGTAAACTGGGATCAGAAGGGGTCCTTTCAGGGCTCACTTGAAGAATCGTCTCTGTTGGGTCTTCCCTCGGAGTCCTGTACCCCATCTGTATGCACACTCACACGTTTGGTCCTAAAATACCTATGGGCCTCCTAAGAGAACCAGTGGGTGACATGAGCTAGAGGGTAGGAGAGCCTAGTGCTCAGACCAGGGCCCGCAGACTGCAGCATGCAGAGAAAACGTCAGCCTGCCCCCTGTTTTCTTATGGTGCACAAGCTGAGAATGGCTTTTCCTTTCAAAATGACTTGGGCAGAGGCACCTGGGTGGCTCAGGCGGTTAAGTGTCTGCCTTCGGCTCAGGTCATGATCCCTGAGTTCTGGGATGGAGCCCTGCATAGGGCTCCTTGCTTAGCAGGGAGCCTGCTTCTCCCTCTCCCTCTGCCTATTGCTCCCTCTGCTTATGGTCTCTCTTTCTGGCAAATAAATAGATAAAATCTTTAAAACAAAATTTTTAAAATAAGATAGGGCAAAAGTCAAAAGAGGAACAATATTTCCTGACACTTGAAAATTATATGAAATTCTAATTTCAGTGTCCATAAGTAAAGATTTGTTGGGAAACAGGCATGTCTGAATATTATGTACCAGACTGTGGTTGCTTTTGCTCTGCAATGGCACAGTCGAGAAGTTATGGCAGAGACCATATTGCACACAAGGCCCCAAATATTTACTATCTGGCCCCTTTACAGAAGATGTTTCCCAACTCCTGGCTTAGAGCAAAGGCCCTGTGGTGCAGGTACCTTATTTCTGGCCTTGGCTCTGTCGCTCAGAGACTTTGTTACCTTGGGCAGGTGACTTAACATTTCTAGGTCTTGCTTTTATTCCTAATGGGTAAATTGGAGGTAATACCACCAGTTTCTTTAGAGTAGAATCATTGTAAAGATTTGTAAGATAGTGCATTTAAAGTCGTTAGTATTGGGACGCCTGGGTGGCTCAGTTGGTTAAGGGCCTGCCTTCCGTTCAGGTCATGATCCCAGGGCCCTGGGATCACATTCCACATTGGGCTCCCTGCTTGGTGAGGAGGTCCTTGTGCTTGCTTTGTCTCTCTCTGTCAAATAAATAAATAAAATATTAAAAAAAAAATAAAGTCTTTTTTAAGAAATGAAGTCCTTAGTATTTATAAGATAGTGCATTTAAAGGGCTATATTGCTAACAAAACTATATTAAGCCCTTTGTTAGCAATCACTAATTTACTGACTAGTTGGCTAAGTAGTAGATATTAGCTACTATAATAATTCTTAGGTAAACAAATTGCTATAATTGTTCCTTAAACTCCCAATAAAATTTATCTTTTAAGGTGAATATTGAAATTTGTCTAAGCCTTCGCATGAATTTGATAATCATAAAAATCCTCTTGCAGACTGAAGCCAACAAAAGCCATGCCACAAAAAGGCTTCCCTTGTTTAGCTGAGAAGTGGTCTCGAGTCTGCCATTCCTTACTTGTCCTGAATACTTCTGCTTAGCAGTATTTTTTTCTTGGCTTTCCGAGTTATTAAGAAAATTGTGGACCAGAACTCAAGGCATGTCCTATGCTATGAAGATCTATGATTTGAGAACTATTTCAGGTCTCCCTCACCCACTCCTGCCATTGCTTCTGGACCATTCAGCCAATGTGCCATGATTCTGCATAGCCCAGGCTGTTTTCCCCATCTCCCTATGGATGCTCTCCTTCTTTGGTGCTTTGTCCTTGCCCTGTCCATTCCTCTGTTAGCTCTCCTTAGTTTCTCCTGAAGGAATACCTCATCACATAATTAGCTATAGGTTTGGCTCTGTTTCTCTCGGTGTTTGGGCCTCTGGGCCCTTGCTTATCCCCTGATCCCCTTTGTGAGAGAATGGAGAAGGAAAAGAAGTAAGATTGTCTTGGGGAGCCAGATGAAGGGCTTTGAAGCTAGCAAAGAGAAATGTGTTTACCTTCTCTCCCCCACGACCAGTCCCTTGGCCCTCTGGCCAAGTTCATCACAGGCTTTCGCCGGAAGATTCATCACTGCCCTAGTCCTGCACATCTGGTCTTTCGCTGAGTTCTGCTTTTTGAAAATTCTTTAGCCTGTCTACTGCCATTTCACCCTTTCCATCCCAGTGGCTGGGACTCAAGTTCACTCTATGGTTATTTCCTCCTTTGACTATGACACCTCCATGCTGCCAGCCATGTCTTCCTGCTGGCTCGCCTAGGACAGTTGGCCCTCTTCCCCGGGAAGGCCCACACCCATTCTGTAAGCCTTGAGTGGGCCCTCAACGTGCACGAGACTCTATATCCCGCCCTCATGTTGCTTATATCCTGGACAGAAGTGCCTGCTGGTAGATTCATAGCCACATTCGGCCCTCAAATTGTTTTGTCTGGCTGGATAGTGTTTTAAGCGAACATATACAAATCCAAATAATCCATATACAAATTTGAAATTCCAGAGGCACCTGGGTGGCTCGGTCAGTTGAGCGTCTGACTCTTAATTTCAGCTCAGGTCATGATCTCAGGGTTGTGATCGGGCTCTGTGCTAGGTTTGGAGCCTGCTTGGGATTCTCCCTCTCCCTCTGCCTACCCCCTGCTGATATGTGCTAGCTAAATAAATAAATAAATAAATAAATAAATAAAATCTTTTTTTAAAAGGAAAAAAAAAGAATTCCTAATTCTGGTTTCTTTTAAAGAATTGAAAGTCTTAGGCCCATGTTGCCACATGGCAATCATGAGCTGGACCTGGGTAGCCAGCCAGTTGTCACCTACAGATGTCCCCTCCTCTCCCAGTTGTCCTTCCAACACCTGACCCCTTGACCCACTGTCATCACTTTGTCTGGCCTGTAGACTCCATGTTTATGCTCCCTGGTCTGGGGACAACTTGATCTATACCTCCCACCACAGCCCAGACCTGACTGTATGTGGCCGTAAGCTCCTCCTTTGTCATACGTTCAAAACCTTTCCTTTGGCTTCCCAGGCGGCCTTTATTCCTCCTCTCCTGTCTCTGCCCTACACAGACCCTACACAGGAAAGCCTGCAGGAAATATTTGGGCAGCTTGAAAATTTGCATTGACCTAGAGAGTGGGACAGAAAGAAATCATGTCATGTCTGAAATCCAACAGACTGAAGCCAAACAAGGATGAGAAAGCCAGACCTGACGGAGGGATCTGACATGTGGAAATTAGTTTCTAAAACTTCAAAGATTTTTTTTTTTTGGCAAAATAATTTTTAATTTACTTTTTTCAAATATCATGATGAATAGCTCACTCCAGGCTCCATTTATGGGACAGAAACAAGCGGGCAGAAGCAGAATGGTTATTCATAATGCTTGTGCACATGGACACAGAGAGAACATGAGCAGTGTCTTATGTTGTGAGTGCGTCCTTGGTGGGGGGGGGCAGTGAATGGAAATATGCCTTTGTGGGCAGAGTTTGACAGCCATGTTTGCAGGATGATCTGCAAAGCACAGAGAATGCTGTCTTGCCCCCCAAATATCTCCCTGGTGGTCACCTTGGCACATGCGAAGCCCGTTTTGCAGAATTATTTCCAGCCTGCATCTCAGTAACTGCCCAATGACTTTATTGTTTCCCTCTCCAGCTAGAATGGGATTGGGTGCTACTGTGATCTGAGCAGCAGGGAGAAGGAGGGGAAGCAGGAGGCCCCAACGGGATACTCCGTGGGCTGTCCTCACATCCTCTTCCATTTTGTGTGCCGTGCTCTTGGTGCCTGTTCTAAAACGGGAGGAAAAAGAACAAGGAGAGTGGGGTAGGGGCTGCCCCAAGCTGCTCAGCATTCATTCTTTACTCATAGGTGTTTATTATATATGCCTCTTCTATTCCCAGAAACAACTCAGGGCTGTGATCGAGCAGCTTGGTTCTGTCACAGTATCCTTTGTCCTTGGCGCCTGGCCTCATAGAGACATATATATCCCTTTCAGTGTCCAGTTATGTCTGAGGTTGGATTCCTTTTATTATAGAAGAAGAGATGACTTAGGGCCAAACATCCAAACACAATACTTAAATCAATCATGGAGCACTTAGCTGTCCTTCCTCTGGCTTCTCAGGTGACCCCAGGTTAGCCCAGAAGGCTATGAGGACAGCTTGGGGCTAGCAGCTTTTCCAAAAAAGGTTAAAACCCTAGCCACATATGTGAGTGGTCCTTGCAGCAACGGTTCAACAAGACATGGCAGAACTTGTTCTCTCTTGGCTCCCCTGTGCCCCGTATAGACTGGAGGCTCGGGGGTCAGCACAAAGACAGCATTCATGGAAGTGGGAGAGGGACAGCTGTCTGCCTGTCCTTCTGTCTGTCTGACCGGGAAGTGAGTGCTGCTGATAGACTGGACCACAGATGTCTGCATCCCTGTGGGCCTAAAAATCTCCTCACTGGCCTGCCTGAGAGGAAAACGTGGTCCAGCTCCAAAAGGGGCCCGCGTGCACCCCTCCTGTGCAGTGAGGACAGTGAGCTCGCCATGGGTGGGTCGCTGAGACCTGCCTCTCCCTGCATAGCTGGCAGACGCATTTGAGCTCCATCCAGCGCTGGGGCCCGTGCGTGCTGTGGAATGCTGTGTTCACGGCACTGTGGTCGAGCCCTGCGTTCTCTCCGAACATGAGCTTCATTTCTTTTCCATTATAAAGGTATAGGTTCGGGGCTCCTGGATGGCTCAGTGGGTTAAAGCCTCTGCCTTCAGCTCAAGTCATGATCTCAGGGTCCTGGGATCGAGCCCTCCATCAGGCTCTCTGCTCAGCAGGGAGCCTGCTTCCTCCTGTCTGACTGCCTCTCTGCCTACTTGTAATCTCTGTCTGTTAAGTAAAAAAATAAAATAATACTAAAAAAAAATATATAGGTTCATTATGGA